GGCTCCCTCCCCATCTTTAGGATTTTGGGGTCAATGCGATGAGTTGTTGGAGGGTAGGGGGTTTTGGTTCACCTCCAAGCAGTAAGCATCACTTTATTTAAGGCCTGAGTCTGGGGTGTGGTATATCTCTCTGGAAGGAGACCTGCTGTCTCTGCTGTACTAAAAGTGGAGCCTGGCCACTTGCATCAGGGTCCATGTATACTTGACAAATCTAAATATAATGTCAAGAGACAAGTCTCTAAATGAACTGGGGAATTTGGGAACTACCATGTCATCAGCTTTCCCTCTCACTCTGCTCCACATTTCTGCCTCTTTTTTTCTGCCCCCGCTTTTCCCCCGGCTGCTCTCAAGGGCTGGTGTTTTCTGGTTAGGTTCCCTCTTTATCCCCTTTCTTTTGGCTGCCAGTTGGTAGCAGAGCAGGCTCCTCCCCTTCTGGACAAGGGCCATATTGATTTCCCAGCAGAGGAACTAATGTGGCTGCATGAACTGTCAGTGGATGGGAGGAAGCTCAAAGTTGCTCTATTACTTTCCTTGCCACACAATGGTCCAGGGGACTGATGACAATAGGCTTTGTGGGATATAGTATAGTTGTATGTGGGGGGGATTGTGACTAACCTGGGAACACGGAACCTCTCTATGGCTAGCTTCCAACCTTAACAATTAGTGAAGGCAGCCTTCACAAAGACTAGGGCAAGAAACTTTCAGTGTTGCCAATACTTTTTTTCATATTTTTCCTCAAAACCCCAGCTCCTGGAGTCATGTGATTTAGTGAGAATCTGTTTTTCTTTTCTTTTTTTTAAAGGTACGTTTTTAACTTAGATAAGTGTCTAGAAAAGCTTGGAAATAAAACCTAAATCCCCAAAGCCAGAAGGCAAATAAAAAGAACCAGTGGCATTTAATTGGGATGTGGGAGAATCTGAGAAGGTTCAAGTCCCTGGTCTGTATCAGGCTAAATGCCCTAACCACTGGGCTATTGGTTACTCTCTGGTTTTGATCAGAAATTACATTCTGGTCCCAAGAAACGTTTCCTCGAAACAAATACATTTCCACAAAAACGTATCTATTTAAAAGATAATATCTCATGATTTTTTTGAGGTCTGACACATAATTTTTTAATTCTTGGGGCAGTCAATACTGTATGAATCTTCTGGGGGCATTAAAGGAGACCATTATATACAAATTAACGATTATGAAATCTTCCTTTTCACTGCAATATATACAGCATCATTTAGGAAGATAAGAGAAGATATGACATGAGCATAGGAAGGGTATGACTCTATCCTCCTACTTAAAGGATTTTTCTTTTTCGGTCTGGCAAGTATTCTACCTTTCCCCTTTATATTGCCTCTTAATACCCCTTTTTACATGCCCCTCCTGTGTACAACATATGAGTGGAGTGCTGTGGTTCTGTTTGGTGCTATTTGGAAGTACGTGGGGGAGGGCAGTGAGACAGTGAGGGAGGAATGTGGTGTGCAGATGTGGGAAGGTGAGAGTAAAGCTTATCGGCTACTGGTTCCAGGGCTGTATGGGGTTTTTTCATCTATTGGTGATGTCCGCCATTGAACAATTTCTATTAATCCTTCTCATAGGATAAAAGTACCTAAGCACATTATGGCTGGGTGTGGGTATTTTTCATTTAAAAAAATATGGCAATTTAATGTAACTCTCATGCTCCTGGCAAGTTGCCATCATAGTCTGCTGGGCTGAAAAACTTTTGACACCCCAAAAATCTTTTCCTTCTTTTGCATAATGCTTCTCTTTGTTTTTAGTAAGCCAGGTTTGAACTGGCAAATTTCAGTTAAGTCCTGTGGCCAATTTAATATTTAAAACAGACTTTTCAAGACATTCTCTTTTCAGAAGCCTCTAAAGCCTCCGTCCTCTGCTAATCTGCTGTGTTGAATCAGTACCTGGGAAATAATTTGACAGAGGGTGGTGGTTTTTGTGCAGCTGGAGAGAGGCAGAGTGATGAAAGCTGGCATGGAAGTAGGAATGGTGCAATAAAGGCTTTTCAGAATCACTTTTCTTAAGATGTGTAAGGAGTGGAGATTGAGAACAAGAGGGAGTAGATATCCACTTGGTCATATGATGCCTTCTTTTGGCATTCAGGCAGGAACTGAGTTGCTAGATTTATTGCATCATCATTTTTATTGTAGAAAAAAGAACATAAATCTGATAAAGACACAGCAGTTGGTAGTGACCTAGAATTGTTACTCTCAAAGTTGTTTGCTGGCCCATGTGGAGATAAATTGGTTTCAGCCCCTTTAAGTAGTAATTAGCAAGGCCAAAAAAAGAATTTGAAGAACGGCGACCCAAAGACTCAAAAAGAAACAGCAAAAATGTTTTTAAGTACATCAGAAGCAGGAAGCCTGCTAGATAACAAGTGGGGCCAATGGACGACCAAGATGGCAAAGGAGAACTCAAGCGGGATAAGGCCATTGCAGAGAAACTAAATGAATTCTTTGCATTGGTCTGTGAGGGATGATTCCCCAACTTGAGCCATTTATTTTTAGGGGGACAAATCTGAGAAACTGTCCCAGATTGAGATGTCATTAGAGGAGGTTTTGGAACAAATTGATAAATTAAACAGTAATAAGTTACCAGGGCCAGATGGTATTCACCTAAGAGTTATGAGGGAACTCAAATGTGAAATTGCAGAACTACTGACTGTGGTATGTAACCTATCACTTAAATCACTTCTGTACCAGATGACAGATGTGATGCTAATTTTTAAAAAAAATACTCCAGAGGCAATCCTGGCAATTACAGGCTGGTAAGCCTAACTTCAGTACCAGGCAAATTGGTTGAAACTAAAGAACAGAATCATCAGACACATAGATGAACATGATTTGTTTGGGAAGAGTTAACATAGTTTTTGTAAAGGGAAACCATGCCTCCAATCTACTAGAATTCCTTGAGGGGGTCAACAAACACATGGACAAGGGGGATCCAGTGGATCTAGTGTACTTATATTTTCAGAAAGCCTTTGACAAGGTCCCTCACCAAAGGCTCTTAAGCAAAGTAAGCTGTCATGGGATAAGGGGGAAGAGCCTCTCATGGATCAGTAACTGGCTAAAAGACAGGAAACAAAGGGTAGGAATAAATTATCAGTTCTCAGAATGAAGAGAGGTAAATAGTGGTGTCTTCCAGGAGTCTTTACTGGACCAGTCCTATTCAACGTATTCATAAATGATCTGGAAAAAGGTGTAAACAGTGAGGTGGCAAAATTTGTAGATGATACAAAACTACTCAGGATAGTTAAATCCAAAGCAGACTGCAAAGAGTTACAAAGGACCTCACAAAACTGGGTGACTGGGCAATAAAATGGGAGATGAAATTCAAAGTTGATAAATGCAAAGTAATGCACATAGGAAAACATAATCCCCACTATACATATGAAATGATGGGGTCTAAAGTAGCTGTTACCACTCAAGAAAGAGATCTGGGAGTCATGGTGAATAGTTCTCTGAAAATATCCACTCAATGTGCAGCAGTAGTCAAAGTGAAAAAATGTTGGGAATCATTAGGAAAGGGATAGACAGTATGACAGATAATATATTACCTCTATATAAATGTATACTATGCCAACATCTTGAATATTGTGTGCAGATTTGGTCACCCCATCTCAAAAAAGATATATTTGAATTGGAAAAGGTACAGAAAAGGGCAACAAAAATGATTAGGGGTATGGAATGGCTGCCATATGAGGAGAGATTAATAAGACTGGGACTTTTCAGCTTGGAAAAGACATGACTAAGGGGTAGGGGGATATAATAGAGGTCTGTAAAATCATGACTTATGTGGAGAAAGTAAATAAGGAAGTGTTATTTATTCCTTCTCATAACAGAAAAATAGGGGTCACCAAATGAAATAAATAGGCAGCAGGTGTAAAACAAACAAAAGCAAGTACAGCTTCATTCAATGCACAGTCAACCTGTGGAACTCTTTGCCAGAGGATGTTTTGAAGGCCAAGACTGTAACAGGGTTAAAAAAAGAACTAGATAAGTTCATGGAGGATAGGTCCATCAATGCCTGTTAACCAGGGTGGGCAGAGATGGTGTTCCTAGACTGTTTGCCAGAAGTTGGGAATGGGTGACGGGGATGGATCACTTGATGATTACCTGTATTGTTCATTTCCTCTGAAGCACCTGGCATTGGCCACTGTCAGAAGAGAGGCTACTGGGTTAGATGGACTTTTGGTCTGACCCAGTATGGCCATTATTATGTTCTTACATATTCATGACTCAAAAGCTCCATCACAACTGGCCACGAATGAAACTATTGTTGAGATTTTCATCAGAGAGACCAAGAAGTGACTTCACAGAAACTGCGCTACCTTTGTACCCCAAGAGTTGGCCTCTTCAAGCAAGACAGACTATGTGGGGAAGCTTGCACTGCCATTGTCTGTACTGTACCTGTTGTCTAGATGGAGGACTTCAGTGCCCTCAATATGGACATTTTCATGAGTCATATAAATGCATGTCAGAACACTGGCATCTGTGTCCTTTTAAAAATATTGCATTGGCATTAGAGCTAGATTTCTAGAGGAAATGGCACTTGCAGAAGTCCTGCAGGATGAACTCTGTGTGTCTCTGTTTCAGGATACCGGTCTTCTGCTCTGCGCTGCTGCTCTCACGGGCTTGCATGCTCAGGTTGAAGCTATATTGTGGTCCATGGATTTTACTTGTGCTACTGTGACTAATTTGATTTCTCTTGGGCTCTAGTTGCATGTAAAATCATGCATTTCATTAATCTGGTGTGTAAGTTTATCAAATAGAATCACACACTACTGTAAACAAAAAAGGAGATTGCATTTCTAATAAGTATAAGTTAGACAGACACTTCATTTTCCACTGCAGATGTGTTAAGATTTGCACACCCTATTGTAAGTATTTTCCTTCCCAAACTACTTGTATTGATGCAGTAGATAAACAACATTTTTGTGTGTGTTTTCCAGCAAAACCATTTCCAAAACTATTAAAATTTATTGTTTTATTTTGCAGCTAGCTATGGACCAAATCCAATTTGCAAAGGTTGTTTGTCTTGCTCAAAGGATAATGGGTGCATCAGATGCCAGCATAAATTGTTTTTCTTTCTTCGACGAGAAGGAATGAGGCAATATGGAGAATGCTTGCATTCTTGCCCATCAGGGTACTATGGACTCCGAGCGCCAGATATGAACAGATGTTCAAGTAAGTTTCTGTTCTATCTTTATGACTGTTTTATTGATAGACCATAGTTCATTCATGGGTGACTCAATTTTTAAGATGATGTATTGCAAAATATAACAATGATATTTTCACAGATGTCTCAAGATCATCATAAACATTCTTTCCTAAAGGAATCCTCAGTTAACTCATACCAAGATGTACACCATTCAGCACAATCAGTGCACTGTTGCCCAGTGAATTATTACCTTTTTGTTCCCTTAGTTGGGGGATGCACAGAGAAAGAATGAGGTAATGTGGATCTAAACATTTCTCATTTTAATGAGCAACTTCTTAATACATTTAAAAGGACTAAGAATTAATTTAGTAATGCCTCATGTACTTTCTAGCCTAGGATATGTACATGTAGACTGGTGGGCAGAACAGATATAATAGTATCATAAGAACATAAGAACATAAGAACGGTCATACTGGGTCAGACCAAAGGTCCATCCAGCCCAGTATCCTGTCTACTGACAGTGGCCAATGCCAGGGTGCCCCAGAGGGAGTGAACCTAACTGGTAATGATCAAATGATCTCTTTCCTGCCATCCATCTCCACCCTCTGACAGACAGAGGCTAGGGACACCATTCCTTACCCATCCTGGCTAATAGCCATTAATGGACCAATCATATGACTGGAAGGGACCTTGAGAGGTCATGTCATCCAGAGCTCTGAGCTGAGGCAAGACCAACTGTACCTAGATCATCCCTGACAGGTGTTTGTCTAACTCGTTCTTAAATCTCCAATAATGGACTCCTCAACCTCCCTTGGAGTCCTGTCATAGGCCTAACTCTTATAGTTAGTTTTTCCTAATATCTAATGTAAATCTCTCTTGCTGCAGATTAAGCTGATTACTTTTTATCCTACCTTCAGTGGATATAAAGAACAATTCATCCCCGTCCTTTTTATAACAGCCCTTAAAATATTTGAAAACGGTTGTCAGGTGCTCCCACAGTCTTCCTTTCTTAAGACTTAACATGCCCAATTTTTTTACATCTTTCCTCACAAGTCAGGTTTTCTAACCTTTTATCATTTTTTTCCTCTCCTCTGGACTCTCTCCAATTTGTTCATATCTTTCTTAAAGTGTGGCACATAGAACTAGTCACAGTACTCCAGCAGAGGCATTATCAGTGCCAAGCAGAGAAGGACAATTACCTCCCATGTCTTACATACAACACTGCTATTAATACATCCTAGAATGATATTAGGCTTTTTGCAACTGTATCATGTTGTTGACTCATATTCAATTTGTGATCCACTATAAACCTCAGATCTTTTTCAGCATTACTACTGCCTACCCAGTATCCCTCATTGTGTATTTGTGCATTTAATTTTTTCTTCCTAAGTGTAGTACTTTGCACTTGTCTTTACTGACTTTTTCCATCTTGTTGATTTCAGACCAATTCTCTTGTTTGCCAAGGTCATTTTGAATTTTAATCCTGTTCCCCAAATCGCTAGCAACCCCTCCCAGCTTGGTTTCATCAGCAGATTTTATAAGCATACTCTCTACTCTATTATCCAAGTCCATGAATGAAAATATTGTAGTGGGCCCAGGACTGACCTGAGCAGTGCCCTACTAGATCTGTTCCCCCAGATTGATAGCAAACCATTGATAACTACTTTGAGTATAGTCTTTGTATATTCACCTTATTGTTATTTCGTCTCATTCACATTTCCCAAGTTGCTTATGAGACTGTCATGTGTGACTATGTCAAAAGCTGTACTAAAATCAAGATATATCACATCTACAGTCTGCCCCCTATCCACTAGGTAACCCTGTCAAGGAAGAAAATTAGGTTGGTTTGGTATGATTTGTTCTTGACAAATCCATGTTAGTTATTACTTAAACCCTATTATCCTCTAGGTGCTTACAAATTTTTTGCTTAATAATTTGCTCCACTATCTTTTCAGATATCAAAGTTAGGATAACTGGTCTATATTTCCCTGGATCCTCTCCCTCACCCCTTTTTGAAGATAGACATGTCCTTTTTCTCCTCCCTGCTATTTGTTCCCACACAAAATTCAGGTGACCACTGATATGCAACACGATTCAGATTTGCGTGTTTGGGCTTGGAAACACTAGTGTATTTTAAATACATGGGCACAAGTAATTCCACCGCTATCTGCTAGTTGTGGGTATTCATGTAGATTCTCTATATGCTTATGCTAGGCTGTTATACAGTTTGGCCATCAAGTCTGTCAATGTGTACATTGCTCCCGCTACTGCCTTGTGTTTTTGATTCTGTCAGATTGCAGTCTAACCAGAATTAGGTCACCAAACCACTAAGAAAAACCTTTTGTGCTTCTTGAAATGGGGTTGTCACCAAGTACGTGGCACTCGTCCCTTATTGCTGAACTAATGCAGCGGTATGGTGTCGAGGTCCACCATGCTCGTAGAAGGTGGTGCTATCTTTCAGGTGAGACATAAACTCAAGGTCCACATGAGGTCATTCTGTGGCACTTTTCACAAGAATAGAAACATTAACTGCTTTGGCCAGATTCCAACTCATGTAATGACATTCTGCCTGTTTTTCTAAATTCCCTATGCAGTTTCAGTTGGATATGTTATTTTTCACTTTCTGCTCCCAACTGTTATGTAATGTTGCTGAGCGCTGCCTAATATTTACCATGTGGCTACATGGAGGATTAAATGATCCCAGTGTATATCTTATATATCGCTTTTGTAAAGTGTATTGGGATCTTGGCCTTCATTTGCATAGTTTAATTGTGAACTCAGCAATTTATCCACTTTAAACCTTTTTTTATTTAAACTGGGCTGTAAAAATGTGTCCATGTTGTTCAAAAACTATTTCCATTGTGGTTATCGGAAATATGTCCTAACATAACTGTGAGGCATGTAAGTTTGTTTCCCAGCAGTAATGTAATAGCAATGACTTTCTTGAGTTGGGTAAGGGTTAATATGTCTGTCATTCAATACTTTCTTCAAGGAAAAAAAATGTTTGTGGGTAGAGTTTGGCTTGAGAAATTAGTTTAACTTCCTTCCACTACATGATGTATGCAAGGTAATTTTTAGCTGTGGCAATGTTCTTAAATCCTGAATTATGGGGCAGATTCTTCAAAAGTACAAATGTAAATTAAGTGCCTGACTTCCATTGATATATATTGAGAGTTGGGCACCTGCCATGGTATTGGAACAATTTGTATAGTGGGGTGCTGAGAGCCATGGAACAAAACTGTAAACCCTGTATATGATGGAAACTACTTCAAGCCAACGGGTGCTGCCACACCTCCAGCATCCCTAGTTCCAGCACCCCAGGGCACCCAACTGCTCTTTTGTACCTTTGAAAAATCTTCCCCTTGAGATTAATGATGCAGCTGTATTTGAAGACCAATTCTGGTTCCTCTCAAGTGATTTCTATGCAAAGATTATGTTAAAGAAAATCACCAACTGATTTATATTTATGCCCCAGCTTTGTCTTTGTTTGGTGATCCTGTGTGACGTACATAGAGACATAGCTAGCAATTGTATTCTTTAGAGGTATTCAAAGTAAGGTAAGATAAAGAAAAAGTATAAAATTCTTCTTACTTCATGTAGGCTGTACTTTCTGAATCTATCACCTCTTGGTTTTATTGCTAAGATAGTATTTTCTCAGTTAAAAATATCAAAAATTCTGGCAAGGTTAAAATCCCTTGTGGGAGTTTCAGGGGTTGATTTATATTAGTTAAAATTATTTCTGTCCTATTAATGTCTTTATCGGCACAAAAGCAGTTTAATATTTTATTATTGGAACATTTGCCCATTTATGCTAGAGGAGCAATAGAGCATATTTTTATAGAAAATGTTGACATGGTTTTAAAAGCCTCAGTAATGCCAAACATAACACTGTAAATTCCACAGCCAAATGTAACAGCTCCAAAATTATGGAAATTGTGAATTTCAAGACTAATTTTCTTTGCTAGATGCAACTGATTTATGCATTTTGAACTTGGAAGACTATTTTAAAAAGTTTTTCTGGTCACAGTGAGTTGTGTAATTCAAGGATGGTTTGTGTACAGGAATGGACACAGAGTTTCTGGTGGGGGGAAAGACAACTAATCTCACTTCAAAGTGACATGAATTCTTTCTTGAATATTTGAGGTATGAATGAACAATATATTGAGGACATAAAGCTGAATGGTTCTGTGTAATCTTTGCTGTAGAAAAGAAAATACCCAAGAGAGGAATGATGTTTTGTTTTTCTCCCTAACCTCTGAATAGAAGACTCTCAGAAGGAAATAAGCTCCCAGGAAAGTCTACTATTTGTACTGGGGAATAAAATGAAACCCATCACCTCAGTGTATTGGTTCTACATTAGGCTGACTAAGACAAGCCCCTCTTGAATCTTTTAGTTTAACCTGTGCCTAAATTGACCTTTGCCATTCCCTTTTTGGAATTTACAAGAGTGTAGTGACTCACCATTCTCTTCACCTTTGACTAGGTACTCAGACTATTACATAACTCCTCTTTCCATCTCATAAGTCAGGTTCCTTCTCACCAAGTGCCAAATAGCAGCATTTCCAAAGTCATCATTGTCAAAGTGTAGGGCTACTGCATCTGTATTTCCTGTAGGTTCCCAGTTCCTTAGCAGTCACCTATCTTGGTCAGAAACCTGCATCTCTCTCCCTCCTGATGGGTTTTTCCCATGGTGAACAGATCCTGGCCTACATTGTAATATCCCCAGCAAGCAAGACTGCCTGAACAGGTCACCATCTGCACTTCACTTTCTCTTTGAAGGCTATGAACAGCTGTAATTGCCAGCAGTTATAAGTTACCACACAGCTCCTTATAAGCAAGCACATTTAATCTTAAGGTGAAAGCATTACCAAGAAAACATTTTATATATAGATATATAGTTCCTATACACACGATAAAAGCTTACCAGAGGTCACCCATCAGTCTTATGGGCCTCAGTAGGCCAAAGGCCTTTCAGCCCCTACCAGGAAGCACTGGGTTCCCCCCTTGAACAGAAGGTCCTGTCCAT